CTCACATTCCGCCGATCCTGTGAAACTTCCGACCTTTACTCTTTTCTCGCTGTGTTGAAGGTGGAGCAAAAGCCTTTCTCCCTATAGGGGATCATTTTGCAAGTATGGAAGGCAGATTCGATGGCATTAGTATTTCACATATAACGTTGCGACCCGGCATCCTTTCCTTGCCAAAGCATTGCAGTTGCACTGCTTCTTACCTATCTATCATGAACGTTCCTTTCGTTATGGGCGAGATGTTAGATCCAAAAACCGATGTTCGTGGGAATAGATCTGAGGAGTGGTTTCAGATTGCGGCTTGTAGCAAAGCGTTGCTGCAATCCTGAACCAAACCTTTAACGAGGAACTTGCATCCATCTATATCTGAAATGTATTATTTAGTAACTTCGATTGAAAAGTTCAAAAACGCTGTCAAAAATGACCAAGGTTTGCAGTTCAAGCGAAGAGAGCCGCTGCTATCGAAAACGCTTTCACAAGTTGAATCTTGACATTCCTACCCTAACATCAACAAGAGCTCAAAATAATGCGTGAGCTTACAATACGGTATAAGGGGCAATAACAGGAGTATCTGAGATACTCTCATAGAAACGTACCTCTAACTTAGAAACTGTTATGTGAAACTACTGATTCTTTACCAAATCCAGTTTTGAGAATCTTGATATTCAAAGTGAAATCTTTCGCTTTTTCTTCATGTTGAACTTTTCAGATCTACGGAAGAAAAAGTTTAGTATCAAGAAGATACCATGCTGATATATACTTTTCAAAATTGAAGTGCGTATCTACGTTTACAGCCTACAATTTCGAGAAGTCCAAATGGGAGGAGCGCATTTTGCCCACAGAACCAAGGTTCAGTTGTCTTTCTACGGTCTTTACTTTCCTCCTTTTTATTGTGATTTGTTTCGTAAACATTGGCGAAATCTACACAACTACTTTCATGATATGTTGGTTCAGAGATTATTTTGGCCAGAAGGGTTTTGTTCTTGGTCTCTCCAGTGATTCTACATATCTAGTTGTGATGCAAACCGGTCCTAGGAAATCCACTGCAGTTATTTATTTCCTCCTACTCTCTCCAAAACTTGCAATTCACGTGAGACTTTGTCTTTTTTGAGATCTTCAGTCGTTGATTATCTTCTTTCTATTTTTAGAAGAATCATATAATTATACGGGATTACACTCCGCTGACGGGGTTGCGAGTTTATTTCCATCCCTGCAGCCGTTTCGTGTGTGCATTTGTGTATAATGAGTAAGTTGCTTCTATTATAGCTCTAATGTCCACCTTCTATTATAGCTGTAATGGGTAATGTCTATGCCAACCGTATTCAATGTCTCCTTTATCATTCACGAGTGTCGGTACTGATCTGGACAAAGTCACTAATGAGCATTTTTTCAATTGCTTCTCAGCATCGTTATCAGGCTTAATCAGGTAGAACCATTATTGGTCACCGCTCTCCCAAGCTTCCTATAACAAAGTGTCATTGTTAGTGGACTAGTGAAAGGGGCTCATTGCCAGTACGAAAAGCGTAGCAAGTGTAACTCTGGTCGCTTCCCGCCTGTAAGGCCCATCTCGATTGTAATCACACTTCCTGTCGCCTGCCTTTACGACCCCGACGTACCTACTTCAAACACCAAATCCATGAAGTTTCCTTGCAAACATGAAGCATGTGAAGAATCCTCCAACTCGTACTTTTTTGACGCCCTATGTTTGCACCATTAATTGGAAACATTAGTGATCTCAACCGTTTGTTTGAAGGGCTGTGCAAGGTCCTTTGGTCATGTGACCATATATCCTATGAAAAGAAGCTACATCATCTGCGTAAAGCTTACCTTTCGTTACAAGAGTTTGCGGTCTTGGGTTGGGACTATAAGACGCAGCCATACGGCCATTCTCACATCTAAAATATCCCGTATTTTAACTTTCATTAAAATCTTTCTCATTACTCTACGTTGCTTTCGCTTTTTCTGATGGATGCATAGTACGCATATTACTTCCCCCTGGTTTCAATTCTTCTCGCTCATGTTCCTTTTCCGGTTATTGCCCAAACGAGGAGGCACCTTGAATGTGTTACTGCGGAGTACTAGAGGGGGCAATGTTCTGTGGAACCCCAGCTTCGTCTTTTCTTTTTGCAAAATTTCTAGAAAACCAACCCGACCTCATAGCACTCGTTTTTTTACTTCGTGTTTGATGTCGACATTCAGCAGTTATAGCTTCCTTAGCACATCCTCTTAGTGATTCTGTCGACTTTATCAGGGGGGACGGAACATTTACCCAGAACTGGATGGACGCGAGGCGAAATTCGTGGTGATTGAAACGACTCTGGCGCCTATCATTGGGACACAAATTTGAAGTGGGATATATAAGTAGCATCAGTTGGCCCTACTTATCCAATCTACTTGAAACCCGTGGTCTAATGATAGACGCCAAAGCCGTTATAATCACCACGAATTTCGCCGCGCAGTTTGCCGCGTCCATCCAGCTCTGGGTGAATGTACCCACAGCCTGTAATCAACGAGTCCGTATCACGAACTCTGCACCCCCACAGCTCTCTAAATTTCCTCACGTGGATTCGCTTCGCCTCATCGGCCACGTTTGGACGTGGGCTACGGTATTTTGCATTTGGGCCAATTGTAGTAGAAAGAGGAGTTATTCAGAAAGTTCAAGCAAATTTGAGAGCCAAAAACCCCTGTAACGTGTTAACTTGACTAACCAAGGCATCTTTGATCCATTATTAATTTATTTCGTACAACTTTATTCTAGGTCGCACTTTCAGTCCGCATTGAGAACTGGTCTTTCTGAGGCTTCAGCATTTCACGTTTACACAATGTTTCCCAACTGCTCCATCTGCCTTCACTATAGTACATCGGCTAC